AAACTCATGCGTCGGTCAATGCTATCAGCAATAATCATCGACACACACCAACAAGTAGTGAGATCATGACCCCTCCCTCCTTCCCTCCGTCTCTCTCCGTCCCTGCTTTATTGTGCCTCCTATTGTTCTCGTGCGCCAACGAAAACCTGCCTTGCGTTTCTTCTTGTTCCAACACACCACAACAGGCACCAGGACCAGGAAACTATCGCCTCCCCCCAGGAATTTGCGGGCAGGGCGCAGCGTCGCCGTACCCGTCGGCCCCCGCCGCTACTTTGAGCGGGCGGGAGAAGTTTGGCTCCCCTTTTGGGTGGTTACACTGACTGCACCATGACTCGCCACACGGAAGCGTTGCAGACCCGCGTCGTCAAAGTGTACATGTACAAATAGAGTAGTTGTTGTATGTCTTGTCAGTGTGCAGGGGTCCTTAAAGGACCGGGTTGATGTTCGCACGACGTGTGATGGGGTCACAAAATGTAATTGGGCGATCGACAATGACTGCTATCTGGGCTGACCTCTCGAACGTCATTGAGTGAAACCCAGGTGAGGGCGTCATTCTTGCAACTCTGCAGACTAGGACAAGGGAACGTAAGGAGGAGTTTGATTGGGACACAAGGGGCGCGCTCTTCCTTTCGTATGCGCCACGAGCTTCGCTTAGTGGCTGTCGAAGGCTTCTCCGATGAATAATAACATGCGATTTTGGCGTGTCATGAGAAGTGTTTGATTCGTTTCCTGCACGCCTGATTGTCCTTGAATAGCACAAGAATGGGGCGTCCCTGGTGCTGAAGGCTGGCCTTTGTAACTTCGTGTTTTTTTCCTGTATTTCCTTCAAATATTTAGTGTTGCGTTGTCTTTTATTCGAAGGAGCCAACACTCTTCGTGGTTGTCTTTGTTGGTTGTGATTGAAACTCTGCTGGATCTTGCGAAGGGCAACTCCCACACATATATGATCAGTCGAACAAAAAACTTGCTTGTGACGGTCCGAATTTCAAAACGAGCTCGGAGGAAACGACATTCTTTTCTTCAGTACCAGTGCTCTTGCAACGCCACTGTTGTGCCGTGTGTCATAGCTGACATGCCGACGGTCAGCCACGCACGTATGCAAAACTTGCGTAGGCAACGTACACACGCACCATATTAATTAAGAAATCAATTTGTTCGAAATGTACGGTTTGACGTGTTTTCGTGGTGCTCAGAGTCTAATAAAACGGCAACGGTAACATTTCATAGCACCTCTTAGAGACACCCGCGGACGAATGCTTCCACCTCAAGCTTCTGAACAGACCAAGACCAGCTCGTCGGCACTCATGTGTAATCAGAGTGAAGCCGCGTGTTGGCAAAATGAAAAACACGCCAACGCCTCTCTCCTACTGTCCAGGCTGTCGCTCGCCTCAGAATTCGAAACACCAACCTGCTCAATGGCAACATGCCATTGTATGCATCATTTTGCGACAATTGTCACGTCGCCTTACGCTTCCGACAATGGTTCTTGTTGAAGCTCTCCACATTACGCGAGTGGATCAACAAAGAGTAACACCAAGACTTTTATTGTTGTTTTCTTTCGAATTGCTATATTATTTTTCTTCGGTTTCTAGGCCACACGCTGGGGAGAGAGACACACGGAACACATACCGTCTCGCTAGCCACGTTGACTACGAGGCGCGGCGTTGACTCCTACAAACCCCGTCTCTCTCCCCGCAAACAATACCAGCCGGGGGACTACGACTGCAGACGTAGGAGTCCCGAAACTGACCAAGGCCCCAAATGGTACACACCATTCTACAACACCTCACTAGAAACCGAATGCTCCCGAGGTTACTCCCCCACCTTCGAAAAGAAAAGGGATGGGAGGGCGGGATTTTCGCTACTCCTGTATGCTGCCGCGTCTACATTGGGCGCCCACTGCTGTCCTTCCTTCTCTCCACGCACTCTGTAGCTTCCGTTCGTCACTCAACTTGCTACACCGCTGCGTGCTTTCTTGTCAACGGAATGGCAGGAGGGGGGTCTTTTTTCATCGCCTGGCGACCCCAAATTTCCGAACAATTAATGACACTACTAACCGAACTGTCACCTCAATAAACCGCAGCTTATTCTGTCTGTTCGACGAAAAAACTTTCCTTTTATTGTTGTTTTCTTTCGAATTGCTATATTATTTTTCTTCGGTTTCTAGGCCACACGCTGGGGAGAGAGACACACGGAACACATACCGTCTCGCTAGCCACGTTGACTACGAGGCGCGGCGTTGACTCCTACAAACCCCGTCTCCCTCCCCGCAAACAATACCAGCCGGGGGACTACGACTGCAGACGTAGGAGTCCCGAAACTATCCAAGGCCCCAAATGGTACACACCATTCTACAACACCCACATCGAGGTCATTTTCTGGACGACTACGGCAGAAGGCGACTTGTTTTATTCCATACGACCCCTTCTTCCGGCTCACCCATTGCTGTTCCGCGCGGGGCAGCGCTACACTTCGGTGATCTAACTGCTCTACGACCCTACGCAGCTAACGGTACGGAGTCAGGAAACGTCGCACGACACAACAACAACTCCACCACAAGAGCAACTGCACCGCTGCTTGCTCTCACGCCTGACTGCGGTCCGGTGGCTTTGTCTCTCATCGACAGTGGCTCAACTTTCCCGTCGAACCCGCCCGCACCCCTGTTTCCCAGTTCCGTGGCTGCCACTTCCGCCTACACCCTCTCCGGTTTCCGAACTCCTGAGTCCCCCAATCCTTCCTCGCGCCCCGATCGAGGTCGCTCCTGACGATCCTCCGTTGGTACGGGCTGGGTTCTTCTCGTGGACGTATGGGCAGGTCCCGTCGTGGCATCCGGACGGGGAGTTGAATGCGTAGCAGAAACCCACTCGTTTCGACCCCCGTGCCGTCGTTCCTCGAGATCGCTTTGACGGTGAAAGCAGTGGTTCCCCGGCCCGTATGGTGGGGCGATAGTAAACCGCGGCCCCGACTCCTCCCATGCTGACGAAGCCCGATGTCTTTTTTCAGTCGATAGGTGAGTCATTTCGAGGCGAACACTTTCAGATCGTCGTTGATGAATCCAGCGAGCCTGGAGATGCTGGCCTCATTCCGCATTTCGCCTCGGTGCTCGCGGCAGTGTTCGCGAACCATCTCCAGCCCGACGTGAAGGAATCCTCGAGGATTCCCACACGCGCGAGATGCTCTGGGTCTCTGATACCCTTCTTGAGGATGGTGATGGTGGTTGCTAAAAGGATCTGTAGCGACTCGTCCAGGGGCACCCCAACGGTAGTCTTGTACACGGAAGTCTGACAGCGAGTCCAGTGATGCCGCCACATGCGGGGTTACTGATACACTGTTAAGTAGCATGACTTGCCAGTCCGCCCGCGAGAGTTTTGACACTGCCGAAGGCCGCCCCAGGACTAACCACGCTTTCACGCGGCGAAGATCTGTCCACATGCGCACCCGCTCCTTTGTGGCGGCTTTGGCGGCGTCCGGCGTAGCGGTGGCAGGGGTACGCGAAGCGGCTAGTGACACCGGTGGCGCTGATGCCGTGCCCACCAGGTACACCTCCCCCTGTGGACCATTGTCGTCTCCTTGGGAGCTGCGCAGGTCGTCAATCGTTGCCTTCAGCTGCTGCCGGTCGCCGTCGGCCTCGTCACGCTGCCGTTGGAGCTCCTCCCTCAGACTCGCGACCAATCCTTGAAGACTAGCCATAGCCAGCCCGGAGTCGTCAGTGGGCTCGCTGCGGGAATCGGACGATCGCGCGCGCGTGGAAGCTGCTCTACGCCGCGTTGGAGCGCGTGATGCCGCACGAGCCGATGTGCGTGACGCCGGCCTCGTAGCCGACCGACCGGCGGCCCTCCTGGAACGGGGTGAAGAGACCACCGCGGCTCGACCGCGTCCTCCCTGCCTCTCCGTCGCCCGGCCGCTGC